AAATATACCTTCCCTTTGTATGATATTATGTAGAATGAAGTGAGCAGAACCAGAACAATTGACAGCAACACTGCAAAGAAAAACACCTTTGAAAGACTCAAGAACTCTAATTAATGCAATGACCAAAACACAAGGACTGATGATGAATGACAGGGAGGAGTAATACAATCAAGATGAAGAATGAGACATAATTTTTGGACATGGTCAATATGAAAATGTATTTTGCTTGACTATGCATATTTTATATTTCAACAGGGAGTGAGGAGAGAAAAAAATCAATGCTTGATAATTTAAAAACTAAGCTAAAATTTTATTTTTAAAAAGCCTTTCTCATCCTGCAAAAATATTCATTTGACTCTACCATTCCCCCAAACTATATCTTTGCTCCCTTTCATAGCCAAACTCCTAGAAAAAGTTGACTAAATTTGTTTTTTCTGCTTCTCAATCCCTGCAATCTGACTTCTGACCTCATTGCTGCTTTCAGGTTACCAGATGACCTCTTACTTGCTAAATCTGATAGCTTTTTACTTAATCCTTGTCCTTCTTGACCTCTCTGCACCACATGACAAAACTGACCACCTTCTCCTTACGAGGCTTTGTGACACTTCTCTCTCTGGCTTCTCTTCCCTATTGTCTGACTGCTCTTTCTCAGTCTACTTTGCTATATCATTATCCAGGCCATATATCCACAGAGGCTTTTGTCTTTGGTCCTCATTTCTTCTCTTTCTCCGTGAGCTTAATCAGTTGAACAAATGAATGAAAAAGCATTTAAGTATTTATGATGTGAAGAGAACTATGCTAAGCACCAAGGTTACAAATAGAAGAGTTCCCAAGGATTCAATTACCCTCTTTTGGTAAATGACTATCAGATGTATATATCCAGCCCCAGTCTCTCTCTTGAGTTCTAGTCCTATTTCACTAACTGATTTTTTGGGGGGGAAAATTTCAACTGAATATTCTAAAAGCATTTCAAACTTACAATATAAGGAAGCAATTTTTCTCCCATCCACCCCCCAAAGCCACCTCCTCCCCTTCCTAACTATTCTATTTTTTCTTTTGAGGACATTTACATTCTTCCAGTCACCTCAGAATTATCCTCAACACTTCATTTTCTCTAAATGCACACCTCTAATCATCTACTAAGTCTTATCAATTCCATTTCTACAACATCTTTAGCATCTATCAATCTCCTCTTTTCACTCACATGACTACCACCCTAGGTTAAACCTTCCTCACCTTTTGTCTGTGCTACAACAGTCTCCTAAATGGTTTCTCTGCCTCAGGCTTCTCCCCACACCAATCCATCCTTTTGGAGGAACTTCAAAATTAAAACACTTGTTAAAAAATTTCAGTCTAATTACTTTCAGTCCAAAATATTTCCCTTGAATTAGCTTTTTGCACATGAATTTAGAGTAACATGACAGTTACACAAGATCACTCCTGCCAAATTCCTAAACACTATCTTATTACTGCTTCTTCTAGCAGATGTATACTAAATGTCCAAGACTCTTCATTACACATCAGGAAGGTACTGGCCTTATGAGGCTAGGACTACTCAAATAAAATATAATACAATGAAGTATAAATACATAAGGAGAACTACAAAGTGCTATGAGAGTTCCAAAATGGGAGGGGACCATATCTCACTGTGGGAAATGGGAGTGGGAGGAACAGGGAAAACAATGTGGACAATATGATATTTTAGCTAGGCCTTAGAAGATGGTTAGATTTCAAGTGCCAAAGAAATGGCGGAAGAGCATTACAAAAGTACAAAGGAAGGCACGTATAGAATATAAGTAGGGAATGATCTATCTGGAAGGGAACTTAGGGGTAGTGAAGACAGTGTGAGGCATGTTTAGAAGAGTAAGCTGGAAACAGATTTTTGAGGGTCTTATACACTAAGCTAAGGAGTGGTATTCAGGAAATTTGTACCAATTAAAAAAGTCAGTGAACACATTATAAAAAAAGACAACAATAACAATAATAAAAGAGAAAGCAATACTTTTCTCACTCTTGTTCCTCTAGAACAAGAGTTGTTTAGAGCAGTGGACTTATAGACTCAGCTCTATCACTAATATCCTAAGTGATCTTGGGTTAAGTAACCTATGCCTCAGTTTTCTCATGTGACAAGCAGTAACAGTAATACTGCACAATATACCTCACCTGGTTGGTTTAAAGGTCAACTCAGATAAAGTATATAAAAGCATTTTGAAAAGGCAAAAAGCACTATACAAATATAAAGTAGTATTACCAGTATGGCTTTAATCACAATTCTAACAGTAGCATCTAGTTTTTCTGGCTAGAACTAAGTAAAAACTACGGGGTAATGGAGTAAGAATTTTAAACTCTTCTGATTTTTTTCCCTGCCTTTAACTCAAATCCTTCATAAAAGAAATGTTTTTAAAAAGTTTATGTTGAACACAAACTCATACTCATAAACAAGGTATTTTTTGCATTTTTTCAATGTTTCATTTTTACAATAAAGAAACTGAATGGCATCAGAATATTCTAGAATGTAAGGATGGAAAAAAATGTGTTTAACCTGTTCAAGTTAACAACGTTTCCCAATTTAAATTCAGTGTGAAAATCTATATTCTCTATAATCACTGTGTCCTCTCAACCACCTGGCAACTCGGTAATTCCTTAAAAAACTCTCATTCAACTCACTCCAGTTGACAAAAGCTAAAACATGAATAATACCTGATGTGGCATTTTCAAAGTAATCCCAGTTTCTGTTCTCACTGATGTCAGAGTCACAGATACAACTAGGAAAGGATGAGGAATGTAGCGAGACATGGAGACCTCCTGGAGAACCTGAATACTGGCAGTAGTATTTACACTATAAAAACAAACACACATTTCAATAAATCATTACTCTCAAGTTTTTTTTTTACCCCTTTCAGCAATATCATTTACTAGAATTTCATGATTACAGCCCTCCCTTCCTATGGGTCATATACATTATCTATTCCATCTATCAACTACAGAAGAATGGACCTGTTTCCTATCTATAATCTGTATCTTTTCCCTCACTTCCTATCCTTAGGGAGGATAATGGCAAAAAGAAGGAAAATGTGGAACTCAGAAGACGGCAGTGATAGATGGTTGAGAGGAAGGAAGTTTAACGGAAAGAACAAGAAGGTAGGCTCTCTGATTTTATCTTAACTTAGCAAGGAGATGGATTTCACTGGGTAGTCTCACTTATTTCTCCAACCTTTATTTTTACTATAACCTTAATTAAACATGAATAGCTCCCAATTGTTACACAAGGAAACATTAACAGGTAAAATTCTATAGATTTTTGGTCAGGCAGTATCTTCTAAATACTATTCAGTCACTCTATTAACTTTTCATCAGATGAACAGAGGGAGCCTGTGAAAGCACTATGCTTTAGGGTATGAGGTAAAGTGGTAGTTAATAATATATATGCTACCTAAAGATTCATCACTCTAGAAACTCCAAACAACATTATCAACCATCTTGAAAACCAAACTAATTAGAGCACCTGTCCTGAACACCGCATATGGCCATGTATTTCAAATTTTTTTGCAAAAGTATAAAAATGATTTAGAATCTTAGGTATGAGCACAATGTCTGGAACTTGGAAGGTGCTTAATTAAGCTTGCTGAATTGAAATGAAATTCTCTATTTTAGGACTCCTCAGGTACAACCCCCTCATTTCACAGATAAAGGCCCTGAGAACCAGAGAGACTGAGTGATTTCCTGAAGGTCACACAGGGAAAGGTTAGGATTCAAACTTGGGTCCTCTGGCTCCAAATCTAGTCCTCTTTCTTTGACATCATTTTGATGGCTCCCAAAGAGCCTCAAGCATGTTGATTAGCTAAACAAGTTAATGTAGAGGTTGGTTTTAATTTCTATTATCTATAGCTTAAAAGAGGTGATTATAACTTCAATTCCACTGATTAAATCTTTCTTTAATGCTTAGATAAAATTAAATCATTTTTTGAGAAAATAAAAGCTAAATTGAAGGCACATGATAAATAATAACTTAAATCAATTTCTTTCATGCTATACTCACCCATCAGTTTTTCTTTCAATACTGTAAAGACATATAGAACAGTCAGCTCTAAATAATATTACCATGTCCCGGAAAACACTAAGCAGTAATGTTTCTGCTTGAACTTTGGTGACATGAGCAAAAGCGTTGTCCAGATTGGATGTTCGCAAGTAAACCCTTAGCTGCAGATCCCACAAAAAAAAAAACCAAACAAAAAGCAAGCAATTCAGTCTTATGGTCACAGATAATGACTACTTCAGACATGAATTTTCTTTGATCTTTTTCTAGTAATAGGAAATGAAAAGCTATATCAATGATTGGTTAACAAACACAGAGTAATGATGTTCAGAAGGCTATGTTTATCATATACACCCCCCCCCCCACTAAGGTGTGGAAAATCTGAGCTGCAATCTATAGGGTTATTTGGTTTGGGCTGTCATGTTGAATTTGGCTTATCTTCAGGTAAGAGGAGGACCATTCTCAAAATGAGCCCATATGTTGCCTCTCATTTGTTTATACCTCTCCTGTACATTTGTCATAATCTATTTGATATTACAGTTACAGGTACATTTGTCTCTTCTCCTACTAGTTTACAAGCTCTGTGAGGGCAGAGACTTTCATCATTCACCTCTGTATCTGCAATAATGCCTAACACCTTGCACACAGCTAGTGCTTGGAAAGTTTGTGGAATGAATCATTCAATCTTTATACCTACATCTGCCAATTTTTAGAGAACTCATCTAAGCCTAGATTTTACATCATTTAAAATATGAAAAGTTACTAGTGTTCAGTAAAATAAACCCTAGAATTTAGATTCTGTAAGTAGTACTGAAATCTGCTTTAAAAATACTTGTCTCAAGGAATGAAATATTTCATTTAAATTTTTAATTCAATTCAACAAATATTTACTGTCTATTAAGTTCAATATATGTGCTTGATTTGATGCATACAAAGATTTTTTTGCACAAAATCCTGCAATTAAAAAGGCACATACATAAGTCTAATAAAATGCAGAGTGTGACTGCATAAAAATAAATTAGAGGTAATCTCTGAGAGAAGCCACTAGCATTAGCACTAAGGAGGACTGGGAAAGGCTTCTTAAAAAAGGTGGGTTTCACACACAGAAAATACGAAAGAAGATAGGAAAAGTGTCAGTATTGAGTATAATATGGAAAGGCAGACACACTAATTCGTTGTTAGTAAAGCTGTGAATTTGGCCAACCATTCTGGAAAGCAGTACAGAATTAGCAAAAAAAGTGACTAAATTATTTGTACCATTAGACTAAGATATCTCAATGCCAGGTATTTAATCCAAGGAGGTCAAAGAGAGAAAATCTCAAAATATAACAAAGTATTCTTATTAGCACTTACTGTAGCAGCAAAAAACTGAAACAAAGTAAAATACCCACCAACTGGGGAAAGGTTAAACAAACTGTGATACATGGATACAATAGAATACTGTGTTTTTTTACTGTAAGAAACAAAAATATGAAGAAAATAGAGAAGTATGGGAAAATTTATAGAAACTGAATCAAAATTAAATAATAAGAACCATGAAAATTATATTCATGACTACAACAATGTAAATGGAAAGAAAAAACACCACCAAAAAAGACTAGGAATAAGGACTAGACCCATATAATTACATATCAAATAAGTAAAGAGAAGAATTGGACTGGAGACTTCATTAATATAGTGAACTCCTGGATGAGGAATCAGGTTGGCACCTTCTTTGCACAACTTAAAAGTCTTTGAGAGTTTAAGTTGGGTCATAAAGCCACTATATTTCAGAGGTGGGGCTTGCTCACTCCAAGGCCAGTTCTCTAACCATTTTGCCACACTGCCCTTTTGACCACCAAAAAACTGAAACTGTATGCTCTGAAATGACAATGACCACACTCAATCCCAAAGAAGAGATATGAGAATGCACCTTTGCTTCCTTCTTTGCAAAAGTTGAGGATTAGAAGTGTGCAATCTTGCATGCATTTCCAGTCTTGGTTGATGTGTTGGTTAATTCTGCTGAACTTATTTTCTCTCCTTTATTTTGTTATAAAATGTGGCTCTTTGAAGAGAAAAGGCAAGGAATATATTCGGAGATTATGGGGATATAAAAATGAAAGATGGAGGAAAAAGGAGGTTTCAAGGCAAAGTGCTCTGGGAAAATATTTTTGGATTTGTTGTTTTCAAACAACAAAAAAGTAAGACTGCTTATGATTAAAATATGGAAAACTGTTACTTTTAAGAATTTCTTTTTACCTCTTCTTGGTGGTCATTTAAATTATAACATGCCAGGACAATAAAGTCATTCCACCAGGCTAAGCCACCTGTCACAATCATATTTTGCTCCTTAAAATACAAGAGAAAAAAACAACACATTAGTTTCATGACTCAGTTATACAGATACCCCAAGCTCTAAGACCCTTACATTTGTTTTTGATGAGGCCCATAATTTCCCTAGTACAGGAAGCACCCACTGGAACACTTCCTGTAGCAACACAGATTATCTCATTCTTTTGTAATTTATAGTTTTTGAGTAGCCTGGGGCAGTGAAGAGTAAAACGCAACTTGCCCAGAGTCACTGGCCTGTATATTTGAGAGGCAAGGCTTGAACCCAGTTCTCCCCAACTTTCTTTTTTTTTTGGTGAGGCAATTGGGGTTAAGTGACTATAGCCTAGAGTCACAAAGCTAGTGAGTGTTATGTGTCTGAGGGTGGATTTGAACTCAGGTCCTCCTGATTCCAGGGCCAGTGCTCTATTCACTGCGCCACCAAGCTGCCGCTCTTCCCAACTCTTAAAGCCAGCTCTCTATCAGCAATATCACAGTGACTCTGAAGAAGCTGATTTACTTGTGAAATATTCCCAGGCAAATGAAAGAACCATCCCACTATTTCTGCTGTACTCTTCAACCACAAAATTGGGTAATTCTGTAATACCTTCATTAGCAGCAAATGACAAAGAAATATGTAGCTCCAGACAGGAAAAGATGAGGAAGACTTGGGCCTTAAGCTCAGGGTGAGTAGTGGAGCTTCAGATTTGGCTGGTAAAAAAACTATGCCCCTTCACCTATGGAATGAGTATCTAAATAGTCTTACACTACTTGAGATCAACTGTCACACTAGTTATGCAAGCTAGGTTTTCCTTGAATAATTAGTATAATTAGATAGGATAAATCTAGAAAAAATACTTGTTTTTAGTGCCTTTCTTTTCTTGTATCTTCACTTTAAAAAAAACTATGGCTATGGACCTCAGAAGCTGGAAATAGCACAGGCTTTTCTAGGCCACTGAGAATCCCCTGCTTTCCATCAGTTCACTTGGAACATATTTGATGCGTTTAACCTAGGACGGAAATGACTCTCTCAATGTTTATGAGAATACGTCTCTCTCTCTCTCTCTCTCGTTTTCAGTAACAAGATTATTGGTATGGAATACTGCGCATAATGTTATAGAATTTTTCTTTCAACAAAAAGAAAATTCAAGCTCCTTTACTATAACTATTCTTTTAGATTTTTTTCCATCGCTCATGTTTAATTTCATAAACCATTTTTAAGGGAGAATGATTTTGTACTTGATGGCTCAAGTCTTTCCCTACTTTGTAAAAGAACTGACCTGGGTAATGTTTCCAAAGAGCTTCCATTTTTTGGTGAGTAATGAATAATGTGCAAAACCAAACTTGCCAACGACAGCAACATTTTGTCCCAGCTTATCAATCGCCGAAAACTGTTTGAATAAAATAAAGTTAAGAGAATTCTCTGGAAACCAACATACTTTATAAATGTCACTTGCATAAAGATATAAAGCTACTAAAAGAAGCATTTAAAAACAAATGAACTAAAAAATAAAGTAACTCACCCTTATAGGCCAATTGCTCTCCAGATAAGTGCTGGAAATCTAGAGAAAACAACACAGCAGTTGTATAAGACTTGGAGTTAAATCATTACTTAGTACTTATACAATAGTATTCATTTTCCTATGCAATTGTCAAAACCATACTATAGAAAACACTTAACATTTTGTCCATAAGTATGCAAATCTCAGAGAAATCTAAATTTCTTGTTTATTTATTGGCAGAGATCTTGAGTTTAAGACTAATTTTATTTCTGTATAATCATTTCCATCACTATAGCAACAGCTCAGTACTCATATAGCTCTGTAATTAGATTTGTTTGTTTCTGTTGTAACTATTCTTACAGGTTTCAAATGTGTTCTTCCTATCTATTCTAGTTTACTATAAGTTTCCTAAGAGCAAAGTCTATGTTTACCATAATTTCCTCTATCTTCCTAAAGTAGTTTCTGGATACACAGGGAACAGTCAATAAATGTTGAACAATTTATTAAACAAGCATTTGTTAAACACCTAGAGTGTTCCAGGGATATAAATACAAGGGAATACAAGAGCAAAGAAGGAAATAATCCCTAATTGCAAAGAGTTTGGATGCTGATGGAGAAGGTGAGAAGATCTACAAATACATACAATAATACGTAAAGAAAATAAATACAAATATATACAAAGCAATTAAATATAAGGTAATTTGGGAAGGAAGGCATTAACAGTTTGGGGTGGTGGGGCAGTCAGGAAAAGCTTCATGTAGAAGATGATGCTTGAGTCATGTCTTAAAGGAAGAGAAGACTGTCTATGGGGCAGAGGTAAGGAGGGAATGCATTTCAGGCATGTGCGCAGCCAAGGCAAAGGCATAGACTAAAGATCGCAGGAGGGAGAATGATGAACAATAAAACCTGAAAGATAAGATTGAGGCCACGTTATGGGGCTTTAAAAGTTCAACAAAGAGTAGAAGAATCAGATGGTCAAATCTGTGCTTAAGGAAAATTACTTTGGCAGTAATGTGCAGGAAAGAATGGAGTGATGAGAGAATTGAGGCAGTGAGACCAATTAAGAGATTGCTGCAATAATTTAAGTGAGACGTGATGAGGCCTTGAATTAACAAAAAATTGCTGTCTAGAACTAAGCTGTGCATGTCTTCAACCTGTGATTAGGCACAAGTTCTCAGGCTCCAAACTCCTTCAACATTACCACTACTTGAATCAATAACATCTAATCCCTCTATGGCAGTGTTTACTAAACTTATTCAAACCATGATACATTTTTTTAACTCATTTGGCAGAAGGGGCTGCAATATGGAGAGTGGGAGCTAAAATGAGTGAACAAACAGGACTGAACATAAAGTTTTCTGGTGGTGAGGTTTTATTATCTATTTTTAGAAGTTTAAACATTAATCTTTAAATGAAAATAAATTTAAATAGAGATTTACTTACAACCTTAAATATGTAATCACTGTCCTATCATGTTTTCCTAAGTACCCTTAAGAATGGGCTGAAGGGCAGTACATTATCTTTATCTGCAAAATTTCCATCTCATTTTTACAAACAATGGTGTTTTATAAACAGCAAAGGTAAATGACTTATTCTTTAAATTAATTTTCCTTCTCATATAATGCCTTTTGTGCTTGAAAAATTCATAGGGGAGCATGAAGTAGCTTACTTTCCTAAGTGGTCACTATAACTTTGGTTACAACTAATTATTTGTACATTGGCCATCTGAGAGACTTCTGAATATTTTATAACAACTCCTGGAAGCCTGGGTTATGGAAGTCAGTAGCCAATTGATAATAAAAGAAATCCAGGACATTAAGCCATAATCATTAAAAATAAAAGAGTGGGGGTAGCTAGGTGGCGCAGTGGATAGAGCACCAGCCCTGGATTCAGGAGGACCTGAGTTCAAAACTGGCCTCAGATACATAACGCTTACTAGTTGTGTGACCCTGGGCAAGTCACTTAACCCCACTGCCAACTCCCCCCTCCGCCCCCCCCCAAATACACACACACACACACCCCCCAGTGGAGAAATAGTATACCAAAGGGAGTTAGCCTGTGGAATGTCAATCTACAATTGCCCCATCACTGCCACCTTGTCCTGTAGCAGAGCAGCAATTTATCTTTAAATGGAGATATCAGTGAGTACCTATTAACCCTTTCCAAAGACAGGAAAACATGTGAATATGTGCCTTTCTATCTTTTCAATAAATAGGTTATTTAGAATTACCCCATATAAAAAAAGCAGACTCAGTAAGAGAATTTGGCAGGCTATAGAATAACCAGCAATGATTTTTTTTGCATTTAACAGCATAATTATAGACTTTCTTATAAAGTCAACTTTTTAGAATAGTGGTCAATATGACTATGCACCTTTCAAGAATTAAATGGACTTTGCCAAGAAGAAGAAGGAGTAATTTAGAAAATGTTACATTATCTAGGATCCAGCTGTATAAACTGTGCTGGGCCATCTCCAATTGTCCTGATCCATATCTGGCCACTGGACCCAGATGGCTCTGGAGGAGAAGGTGAGGCTGGTGACTCTGCACAGCCCTCCCTCCCTCAAATCCAATTTACTTGCAAATCATGGTATCATCTTCCTGATGTTATGGCCCTTTTTGAGAACGAAGGACAGATGACACAAGTACAAACCACCACAAGTGTAAACTGTGTATTGGCCATTGGCTCTTAAAGCTTTACAGTTTGAAATTTGTAACTAGGAAAAGAGGATGCAGGAAGAACAAAACATTATGTTAAGAATAAAGTGTTTTCTTCAATAGCTGTGAGTAGCCCTGTTTCCAAAAGGTAAACACTTTTTTCCTTTCTCTTAACTTAATGCAAAGACTAACAACTAAATCTTTTGAAGTGAAGAGCAGGGATTTGGGCGGAGATTAGGAAAAGGAAAACTGAAGATAATTTAAATTTAATACTGTAGGGAAAATATAGGTAAGGCCTAGGAAAAGGAGGAAAATAGAAGACAGAATTAACCCTGAGCTTATTTGTTTAAGTATGAGAAAATCATGAAGCACATAAAATGCAAAATCTTTCAGAAGTAGATACCCAAATAGACTCTTACGTTGAACAGGGAATTTAGACTAAGTATCTGTGTTAAGCTTAAAGGGTATAATAGTGACTGGTTCAAGAAGACATCACTGTTCAAGAAAAAATGCCCAGGTTAAAAACCTGCAGTTTGAGGGCATTTAAAGCCATTTTATACAAACCACACTGGGAAAACAATGCATTTAATCATTTAGGTAGAGTCACAACTAAAGGAAACAAAAGGTAACTGGAATTAAAGACCTGAATTAGTAAATTCCAGTTTTTAGTCCTTGGCTAATACTAAAAAACAGAAATAGTTTCTACTGGACTTAAAAGTTTTTGGGTTCCAGTATTATTTTAATTAGATAAGAATAATGATAGTCCTGCCAGTAACTAGCTTTGTGAGCTTGTGCAAGTCTTAACTCTTTGGGGCTCAGTTTCTTCGTCTATAAAACAAGTGGTTGGACTAAATAATCTGTATGGTTCCTTCCAGTTCTAAAAATTCCATGCTTCTATTCTAATATAATTGTCAATGGATTACTAGCTCTGATATAATCTTATCAACTGGGAAAAACTGAAAAATTCTGAAAATGAAATTGGTTTTGACACAGAGAAATGTTAGAATCTCATCCATAGATGGTATAATGACAGTGTTATTGCTGGTAATCAATAGACAAACACCTTTCTTTATTGCTCTAAATTAGTGCTATCAAATGTTTGGTTAGTTTAATGGATTATTTAATAACTTACTAATCATAAAATGGCATAATGAGCAATGGCCAATTTTATGGCAGCAATACAATTTCATATTATATTCAGAGACAGTAGATTTTAAAACACTAAGATAATTATCATCTTCTTCAATTCTTTTTGGAAATATTCCATCCCTGAAAAAAGTAGCCATGGAAAAGTAGGAACTGAGGTGGGTGGTGAAGTGTACATGTATGTACAGAGATTGGTTAGGATCAGAAAGTTGAGAAACAAGCCTCCTTTTCACTGTGGAGAAATAGTTTCTGACCATAGATAGTTGAGCTTAGACTATTTATGAGGAAGAGGTACAGAGTTTGGTATTGTAGTGGAAAAGAAGATTTAGGGTGGTGAAGCTATAAGTGGATGGTTAGTTTCATTAATTTATTTTAACTTAGCTTTTTCCCAAAAAGTGAATTTCTGAAATGTCTGTTTTGCACTAAACTATGGTATTTCTTTCCTTTCTGAATGCCAACATACTGATATTACTGAAAAGGATTTTTTTTTAAATGTTTGAAGAGCTAAATATCTTGTAATAAGCAGAACTGACAGCAGAGATTCTACAATGGATAGAAGAGTATGGGATGGAGACTTGTAAGTCAATACAGTAGACTCACTTCTTCCATTTGAGTTAATGTTAGCTGCACAGAACTGGGCTAGGTAAAATTAATCTCCAGTGATAATTTGCATGACCATACCTTTGCTTATAACACGGCTGGATATATATTTCTTGAAAAATATGACAAGAGTAAATAAGCATTTCACATAGTTGTGATGGAAGAGTGACAGGTAAACTTCCTGCCCTTGAAGACACTGCACACTGATAAAAGACTTAAAGCAGAGAACAATACATTCTGTATTAAGTGGCAAGAACAGAGAAGAAACCAAAAAGGGTAGAACATAAAAAGGTAGAGAAAAGACATAACACAAGGCGGCAAAAGTCACTCCTTTTTTGCAGCAACAGAAAAATATTTTGAAAACTAATTTTAGGAGAAATCTCACCAAGTACAAGAGCGTAGCATGAAATGAAGTTACCTGTACAACGTGCCAATGTCGGTGTCCAAGTAAAGTGCTTAAACCCTGAGAATCTAAACTTCCATCTGAAAATGGACTCTTTTCCCGAATGGGCTTATGTTCAGAGTGTGCTGATGAGTTTCTAGGATTCTGGGCTTGTGAGGCATCTCCACAATTCAAATACAAGCGATCCTCTCCCTGAAGTAGCACCTGCTCCTGGTTACTCTGTGCAAGAGGAGACAAAGAAGAAATAAACAATTTTAAAAATTAATACTCCGGTTATTAGGCAGGATAAAAAAGCTAAATAATAAGTGCTGTGTCATGGCTAATCTTTGCAAGGCCCTCACTACACACAGCAATCCGTTTATTCATCCCTTAATGACTATCCTGCATTATTTGGAATGGCAGTTTGAAACTTCTTAAACCCTACCTTCTCATGCTCCCTGCCCCACCTGGTTTCTCTTAATGGGAAGCCTTTCAATACTCTTACCCATCCTTTCATTCCTGTTCTAGGTCTCAGAGAAGGAAACCAAAGCTACCACATTCCATATTTACCCTTAACCTCGTATCACCTCCAGTTGCCTCTGGAATCTTGCTTTTACCTCTCCTACAACTTCATTCTTTCCCTGTCTACTGGTTTTTTCCCCCTAGACTATAAATATGTTCACATCCAAAAACAAAATGAAAAACAATCCTTTCCTTAACCCTGCCACCCCTTAACCTCATATATTTATCCATCCATACCCTCCTATATTTATTCAACATTCATTAAATATGCAAGATACTGCTCCAGAGTAAGAACACAAAAATTTTTTAAAAGGCGCAGTCCCTGCCCTGAGGGAGGAAGGATGTGACAGGCACTTAAACAAATATAGTACAGATTAGGGAGTGATATAGGCAAAGGAGAGATTTAGTCAAAATAGAGGCTGAGAGAACATTTTCATTTAGAGACATCTGGGAAAGCTTCACAGGGGAGAAAGCATTTTCTCTCTCTCTCTCTTCGTTTTCACTGCCAAACTTTAAGAAAAAGTAGATTCTATGTGCCATCTTCACTTCACCTTCCACTTTCTTCTCCGCCAGTGGCAATCTGGATTCAGTCCCAACCATTCTATCAAAACAACTCTCTGTAAAGTCACTAAAGACCTTATCACTAGATACAATGTTCTTTATTTTCTCCTCTTAAAGCCTCCTTGACTTCTCTGTGGTACTTAATACTGGACTACTACCCTTTTTTTCTTCTTGAATACCCTTTCCTCTGATGGCACTATATCCTCACAGTTCTCCTACCTCATCTACCACTTATTCTCTGTCCCTTTTTCTGGCTCCTCATCCCTCTCCTACACCTCATAATCAAGAATCTGCCAAGCATCTGTCCATAGTCCTCTTCATTCTTCTTCCTTGGCAGTCTCATGTATTTCCGTATCTCCCATTATCACCTATCTATACTTCCCTTCATGTTGTCTCCAGAGCTCTAGTTAAATATTTTAACTGCCAACTCTATATCTCCACCAGTATGCCCTATCAGCACCTCACACTCAACTTGTCTAAAACAGAATCAATTTTTCCCACCCATACCAAATAGCTCAACTGCATATTGATGGAATTACTATGCTTCTAGTGGCCTACGCTGTAACCTAGGCTCATCTTTGACTAGTTCCTCTCTCTCACCCTTTACATCTAAATAGTTTCCAAGTCCTTTCTACCTCCTCAATATAGTTTGCATACAACCACACTTATTCAGGCCCTTATTTTGTCTTGCTTAGACTTACTGCAATAGCTTCTTTGCTTTTCTTGCTTCCATGTCTTTACCCTCCAATCCATCCTTCACGGAACTTTGCAACTAATCTTCTTAACAACTACTTTGATTATATAATTTTTCTACTCAAACTTCTGTGGTTCTCTACTGCTTACCAAATAAACTTTTGAATACTCTTGGTACTCATAGGCCTCAATAATCTGGTCCCAGCTCATCTTTCCAGTCTTAGCTCTTACTATTCTCCTAAACATACTCCACATTTTATTTTTTTTCCACACTCCACATTTTAGATAAAATGGACTACTCTCTCTCCCATTCTGGAGCCTTTGCTCATGCTTATCCCTCATACTTGGACAACATGCTTACCATCCATCCCCATCCTACTGGCTCTCTGCTGAAGGCCTTCCTTCAAGGTGCAATTTAGGTGCTAACTCTTCCATAAAACACATCCCTAACTCTGCTTGGCAGATGAAGGTGACTTCTCCCTCTCTAAATCTCTCAGGGCATATTGCTTGGACTCTTCTTTTCACTTGTCTCATTCTCGACATGATAGTTACTTGTTTATATGTATATCCCTATTCAATTGTAAGCTCTTTAAAAGCAGGATGTATCATGTGTGTATCCCCAGCACGTAGCACAAAGCATTGTGCATAGCAAGGGTTTATCAAGTAGTTCCTGAATTGATGATGTCTATAAATTACCTCAACATTTATCCTGGTGTGCTTATGAAATTTACATATGACATAAAGGTGGACACTTGATAGGATGGATGATAGTCTAGATTCAAAAACATCTGAAAAGGCCCAAAGAATGGGTCCAATCAAATGTGATAAAATTTATAAAGGACAAATGTAAAGTTCTATACTTGGGTTGAAAAAATCAACTTCACACAACCAGAAAAGAGAATCTGTGACTAAACCACCATTCTTGTGAAAAAGGTCTAGGGCTTTTAGTAGATTTCAAGTTTAGTATCAGTCAACAGTGTGAGAAGACAACTGCAAAAAACTAATGCTATTCTAGGTTACATTAAGAAAAACACAATATTTGGGACAAGTGAAGTATATTTATACATTTTACTCTGCTCTGGTAAGGACATGTCTGGATTATTATATTTGGTTCTAGACATCTCATTTTAGGAACTTTATAGGTGATATGATATGTTTCTAGAAGAGGGTTCAGAATACTGGCAAACATGTTAAATGAGGAGAAGCTGAAAGACCTAGGGATGAGACTGACTTTAAGAGCATAAAGGAGGAGCATGACAGCTGCCTTGAGTATTTGAAAGAGGAATTTAAACCAATTCTGTTTAGTCGCAGAGGCTAGAGCTAGAAGTAATGAATAGAAGTTCCAGAGAGACAGATTTAGGCTTAATTTAAGCAAAATTTTTCTAATAATTACTCTTTTCAAAAGTGCCAGATGTTACTATGTTTTCCTCATTGGAAATATTCAAACAAGGGATAAATGATGATTTGTTATGGATGCCATACAAGGAACTGTTAGTAAGGTTTGGGTTAGACTAAAAGACCCTTGAAGTAAATTTGAACTCCTAGATTCTGTAGTTACCTTCTGAGAGAATGTAAAACACATGATGACTTATGTAAATGAGACTATTTGGGATATAAGCTTCATTATAAATTCTCACCATAAATGAAATTTTTGTTTAAACCTATTTTATTTAAAAAGTCCAAAAGCACACCCAAACTTAGAGCTATTTTAATGGCAATTTTCACAACTGCCAATAGATGGCAATGTAATTTCACAGAAGACCTTCTTTGTTGAGAATGAACGGAATTTCCAAGTGTAAAAATAAGAAGCTTTAATAGTTGCAGTGAAAGGTAATGATTTCTTAGGTGCTGGTAATACTGGCAAGGCTATGGACTACTGTTGGTGAAATAAGGTCATAGAATACACAGCTTTGGGATGAGCAGTAATAGCTCCAGCTCAAGTACAAGAGACCCCAAAGGAATTTTCTAGGGCTGAAAACATGGACAACATGGAGTCCATCTCATTGCCTCACAGTCCTCATTTATTACATCGAAAAGATCAAAAAGTGGTTTTCAAAATGGAATGTAAAAGCACACTAACAGTGTTGGAACAGCTGTGAATTATTACAATCATTTTACAAAACAATTTGGAATTATGCAAGCAAAATCACTAAATTGCACAGCCTTTGAACTAATGATGGCACCAACAGGTATACATCCCAAGGAGGTCAAGAACAGAAAGGTCTTAATATTCACAATATTACTTTTTGTGGTAGCAAAAAACTGGGAACAAAGTGGTGCCTATCAACTGAAAAATGGCTGAACAAATTGTGCTATGTTAATGTGATGAGATAATATTGCACCATAATTCAACAGGCATTTATTAAATGCCTACTATCTGTCAGGTTGGACAACTAGGTAGCACAGTGGCTACATTGCCAGGCCTAAAGTCAGGAAGATGAGTCTTCCTGAGTGCAAATCTGGCCTCAGACACTTTCCAGCTGTGTGATCCTGGGCAAGTCACTTAACCTTGTTTGCCTCAATTCCTCACCTGTGAAATGAAGGAAACGGCAAACCACTCTAGTACCCTTGCCAAGAAAACTCTAGAAGAGGTTACGAAAAGTCAGACATGACTGAAACTACTCAACAACATGTGCCATACACTGTTTTAAGCACTGGGGATACCAATAAAAGTAAAAATGGTTCCTGCCCTCAAGTACCTCACAATTTAAAGGGGAAAAGAGCATACAAATAATATGTGTGTGTGTGTGTGTGTGTGTGTGTGTATGTGTGTCTCTCTCTCTCTCTCTATATATATGTATATACACATAAAGTATAAACTGTAGGGAAGCTCAGAGAACGGCATGAGCACAAAAAGGGACTGAGAAGGGCTTCTTGTAGAATGTGAGATTTTAGTTGAGAATTGGAGGAAGTCTGAGAAGGAGGAGGTAAAAATAAGGAAGGAGGGCATTCCAGGCATGAGGGACAGCCAGTAAAAATGTATGGAGTCAGAAGATGGAATGTCTTTGTGAAATGAATAGCAAAGACACCAGTTTTCTGGATTGTAGAATACGTAGAGGGGAGTAAGGCATAAGAAGACTGGAAAAGTAGGAAGAGGTCAAGTTATAAAGGGCTTTAAAAGCCAAACAGAGAATTTTATATTTGATCCTAAAGAGCCATCATAGTTTATTGAGGGACTGGAGAGAAGGTGAGAAGAAGAGGAAGGGTATGACATAGTCAGACTTGCATTTTAGGAAGATTCTTTGATATTTTAGTAGAACATAGGTTGAAGTAGGGAGAGACTCAAGACAGGGATACCAACTATAAGATTAAAAAAAAAGACCTGTGTAAAACTAAGTGAACGACGCCAGGTAAAGAGAGCAGAACTAAAAGAAAAATATATACAATCATTTCAATTAAAAAGAACACTGTAAGGCAGCTGAATCTTGATAAAGTATAATGAACAATCTTGGCCATTGGAGAATAGATGATGAAATATACTTCCCTCCTCTTAGTAGGGAGGTAGAAGCCTAGGGATCCATAATATTGCATATGCTATCTGATAGTTCCAACTGTGTTAATTGGTTTTGCTTAACTTTTTTAGTATATAGTTTATGCTTAATAAATGATTGTTGATTGATTGATTTTATACAAGGGAAGATTCAATGGCGGAAGGGCTTATCAGGAAATATATGTGATATAAAAACAAAAAGCATAAATAAAACTTTTAAAATAAAAATTAAATGGTTAATTAAATTAAAAGTAAATGATCTACCCATATCCCTTTGTATACATTATTTCCCTGTGTTTCTTTTGCTTGACTATGCAATTTGTTACATGAGCTCTTGATTTTCTTTTTTCCAGAAGGGAGGGGAACATAGGAGAAAGATAAATATTTGTTAATTGAAAAAAAAATTAACTGAAAATAACATACTGTCACTTTAATATGAATGTTTCATTTACATAAAAGTCAATGCTATTTTTCTGTGAGTGTTTCTGTTTTTTGGGGACCACTGAGCTGAAATTGTAGGAAAGGCTCTGAGAAGAGGCCATTTTCACACTTTGCTTCAATCTGAAATGCACCAAAGATTTTAAAATGCCTGAGGCAAAGGAGAAAGTTGAGTTAGTATGAACTCTAAAAGGCAGATGGTTATGCAAAACTGTCAAATACCATTTAAAAAAATCCACAAAATTCTGAAGATGGAATTTTTTGTTTGTTTTTGATGGGAAGGAATGATTTTGATAAAACTTAAAAATTCTAGAAAGTGAAAAGAAATTATTTTCAGGTGCAAATTTGCAAATAATAAATACTTGGGTTTGACCAGGATAGACAAAATATTATAAAAAGTTTCTTTTATAGCTCCTTGGGGTTAGAATAGAGCTATAACCTATAGAAGTAAAAATACAAACAGGACAGAGTGCTACCTCATTTTTTTGAGACTTCTTCCTCTCCCACTTTGTTCTTACTGAACTCACCTTATTTTTACTGAACCTACAAAGACATAAAAGGACATAATGGACCCAGAAAGAAAACATCTGGCATAAAATAAATGAAGATGGAAAACAAAATCAGAAACTATAACCTATAAAATGAGAATGATTCAAGATTTGAACAGTATAAAATGACATCTTTTTTAAATAGTAAGAACCCCAAAAAATAATTGAAAAAAAAACTTTTTAAAATGCTATAAGTCATAAATACCTACTTACCATACAAGGGTTAACAGTGAGTGCACTCTTGATGAACTGAAATTGTAGAATGCCAGGCTGATTAGCTGAACTCTTGATGTCAGACTCAACATTGGCATTTTGAGAACCAAATCCACTAACTACCCACAGGTGATAACCTTCTGCACCCCAACTCTTGTGTGAAAAAGAAACAAAAAATTACTCCCAAACAGAAAAAAAGTCTCTTCCATCCCATCTTAACTGCATACATTCCCATACTACTTGCATGCCAGAATTGTTCATAACTGCTGGAGGATTACAAAATGTTGCTAAAGTCAACATGGTTTAGAATTACATTAAAATTCAGTTTTTCTGAGTGTCACATTCCTGTCCCTGCACTTGGGATAGTGAAACAAAATATAGACAACACTGGCATCACCAAACCTAGGCCTTTATTCTCAGGAAAATTTTCTCTCTACTTTTTTATTTAAATTACTTTAATTGGATTACAGGAAAAGGGGATTAGAAAATACAAAATCACTATTTCTGACCTAATTAGCCTAGATTAGCAAAAAAGAGCCCAAGGCACAAATAATCAAATAAATATCAAAACCTTTTTGCTACATGTTTTCTTTTATTCTCCCCCCATACACACATATACTCCCCCACCTCACTGAATGATAAGAGAAAACGTAACTGTGGAAGCATTGTCTAGAAAGGTTCATGATCCAGAAAAAGATGACAGGGAAAAGCCTCCCTTCTTATTCCTAGAAGAAATGCTTCCATAATTCTTATGGGATTATTCACAAACATACTTGCAAATGGTGGGGCTGTGTAAGATTATATTTGACATTAAATATAGAAGGGTTTATCCAACTGATTTCTGTAAAACCCAGAAGGGCGTTCAATATGTTCGAAAATAATAGAACAGTAATTCTCAAGAAACATTTAGCGGTAAATTGTCAGCAAGACCTTAAAGGCAACATGTCCAACATATAATTAATTTTCTGCTTGTTCATATAAAAGACAGGAATGAAAAAATAGCTGCAAAGGAATCACAAAAGAAATGGAGGTATTCTCAAGTGAAAAAGATATACCTTCTTTACAACAAACTCTGCTCTACATGATAGTTATTGTCACCAAAAAGAATAAAAAAATTAAATACTAAAGACTGACTAGGCTTTCCCCCTTTACTTTTAAAAACTGTTTTAGTCAATCAAAAATTACATACTGAAGAACTTATTCATATTCTGGCAAAACATTAAGTCACATAAACAAGAAACACCACACATGACAAAACACAATCTAGACTTCTCATATAGTGCTAATTCTTATAGGAATACTAACCATAGAGCTGATCTTAAGAGGTTCTTTCTTAGTACCATCTGACCGGTAACTGAAAGAAAAAAGACATCCTTAGTATAGGATTTTAAAAAATAGAGAAAAATAGAGAAAATAGAGCCATCCACCATGAAGTCCCTACTTTCACTTTTCATCTCTAAAGCCCCTGACATCTTTTTCCAGTCTCATTTTTTTCCCTCCAGTCTCTGATGAGAAGTCGGCTCTTTTTTTAAAAAAGAATTTATACCATGTATATAATTCATGTTTTTTTAAATATAAGCTTTAAGTTAGCTTAAATTATTTTTAACAATTTTAAATTGAACAATTCTTTTGCCTAAGAAAAAGCAAAGAATTGATTGAAAAAACTCACCACTACAATATTAATTCTATTTGGTTACTTTTTACAGATCTGTACAACAGAATAGCAAAGAATTCCTCAATCCATACCATACAGCAATCTTGATCATGCTATCTCGTGCACAGCAGGATGAGAAGGTTCTTGCTAAGAGGCTCTAGGAATGGAAACTGGAAGGATTATACACAGTGAACTTTCCACCTTACCAAGCATATTGGGAGTAGAAAAAAAGTCAAGTTCCTCTTGTTAACATTTGTGAATACCCTTGATAACATACCCTACTCCAACTTCCTCCAACAGATTGCTTGCTCAATTATCCACCCCCTCTCCCTAAATTTTCTTCTTTCCTTATCAATTAATTCATTTTTTTGCCTAAAAACACAACTAAGTGTCCTCATCCTTTATCAATCCTTATTTGATCCTTTCATGCACTCAAAACTATCATCCTATACACGATCCACCCTCACAGCAAAACTCTTAGAAAAAAAAAGATGCTTATACTTTTTTGACTACATTATTCTCCACTCACTCCCCTCAAAAACTTTTTTCTCCAAAGTTACCTTTCTCTTCTCAAATCCAATAACTTCTTAAACGTTCTCATGATAAGCCTTCTTGACATCTCTGTAGCAGCTGACCACATTTTCCTCCTGAGAAATTCTTTCCTCAGCTCTCTTCCTGCCTGACAACTCCTTCTCAATTTCTTTTGCTAAATCATAATACATACCTTATCTTCTAAATGTGGAAGATTCTAAAGCTGTCATGGACCCTCTTTTATTCTCTCTCTCTTTATACTCTCTTGATGACCTCATCAGTTGTCATGGATTCAATTACCATCTTTATGAAGACTGCTCTGGTACTCCATCAACTGGCTAATGGATATCAACAATAGTTGTCCTAAAGATATGTCAAAGGGGCTGCTAGTTAGTGCAATGGATAGAGTGCTTAGCCTAACGTCAGGAAGACTCACCTTTATGAGTTCAAATTTGGCCTTGGACACTTACTAGCTGTGTGACCCTAGACAAGTCACTTAACCCTCATCTATAAAAATAAGCTGGAGAAGGAAATAGCAAACCACTCCAGTGCCTTATCAAGAAAACCCCAAATGGGGTCATGGAAAGTTGGACACAACTGAAAAACAACTGAACAACAAGACATGTCAAACTCAGTATGTCTAAAACAGAATTTATTATCTTAATCCCTAAATCCACTCTTATTCTAAAATTCCCAATTTCTATTAGGGGCATTATCATCTCCAAGTCACTCAGATTTCAGAAGCTTACAGTGTTCCTTAACCCCTTAATTTTCCTCACCCTACATATCGATCAGCTGCCAAGTCTTTTTAATTTTACTTTCATAGCATCTCTTGCAAATATCCTCTTCTCTTTACTCAAACAGTCACCACCTTAGGCTCTCATCACCTCTTGCCTGGACTACTGCAGGTCTCCTAACTGTTCTCCCCACCTCCAGTCGCTCCCACTCTAATCCATCCTTCACACCAGCTAGAAGAAACTATAAGTTAGACAACTTCAAGGGGTAGACACTCTCTGTCAGGACTTAATTTGGCAGGGGAACCATGATATTTACCTTACCCTCTGGTAGGGGTAAAATAAGACAATTTTCAATACATCTTGCTTATTATGAAGACAGATTTCCAGAGATACATTAAAAATGTCCTTTTAGGTGATAAAGCAATGAAAAGCTCTAAAACAATTCCTTAGAAATTATTGTTTAGAAAAGGGGGGAAACAAAACAAGAGAGACAGTACCAGGATAGAAAGTTTGTTTTTTTGTCTTTTTTTAAAAAGTTATTTGTTCTAATATTAGTTATAATTCATTCACTCACGCAAAATCTCCTCCAAGAGTACAAATCAGCTGGGCACCAAACACACTCCATAAAGAAAGGCCTCCATGTTCCCAAGTCACCATTACAACACTGTTATCAGGAGACCACCTGATCAATTTAACAGCTCCCGTTTTGTTCCAAATATCTATTAAAAAAGGTTAAAGGAAGGGGAAAGGATGTTTCATAAACATACTTTATATGTTATGTTCCATATGTAGAGGGGTTCAGTAGAATAAAACAAGTACTGAAACTGGAATTAAAAGATCTGGGTTCCAGTTCTGACTGCAATTTATCCACGCAACCTTCAGCAAGATGTAATTAATTGAAGTTTCTTTAGGGTTGCCTTTTCTTTTTTGTGTGAGTCCAGTAGTACTCCTCTATAGTTTCTATGGTTAGTTACCATGACGGGAAAAGTTCTAGTAATATTATTATCAAATTATTCCTACAGTAAATTCAGATTTAAAAATACTAGCCTTTTAGTATCATAATTGCCTAAAAATTCCCTTCTTTAATTTTTATTTTTAACCATTTTAGCTAAAATTGGTTTTGTTCTAAAAGGTGAGGCTTCCTCACATTAATTATAACAACAATGGTAATTGTCATTTACTTACCACTTTAAGGTAGGTAAAGCACTTTACATACATTGCTTCAGTTCATATGTATACCAATGCTATAATATAAGTACTACAGTTAGATGAGGAAAAAAACATGTCCAATTCTGCTAATATTCAATGTTTTGTTATAAAATACATCTTTCCCACAATATATAGACATGCAGATAAATATCCAGGGTCTCTACAGATAAGATCCATGTGGGCATAAGCAAAACCCAGACAAACCTGGAGTTCAAAACCCCAGAATTATTGGTGCTGGTCTCTACTTGTCTAGTACGGGGACTTAAACTGAACCAAGACAGAAACAAACAAACCTTTTGAGTAAGACTTTTAAGTTTAATGTGTAACTAATTCAAGCAACAATATGAAGTAGCAAAGAGATGCATATGACTTGCATACTTTTAATAATCTATAATATATCTATTTCATGGGTTTCAAATGAATTAGAACTAGGAAGGGATCTTCGAGATCACTGAAATCAACCCTTTCATTTTATTATATAACTCCTAACAAATTTTACTACACAACCAGCCAGCAGACAAAAATTACCTAAATATAGCAAATCAAAGTTCATTTAAAAATTTTATAAATAAATGGAACACCGAATATCTAATAGAGACATCAAATTACTCAAGATTCTTAAGTTATATCCCCAAATTTAAAATATACACCTCATAGTCATTATGTACACCATTCCATGGGTAAAATTTTATTTCAACAAATTGTATGGATAATGAATTTTTTAAAGCTGCAATTTGGTCAGTTTGGCATCTGTCAGTAACACTGGGGTTAGGACAGGCTTAACAGTCAGCTTAAGGTTAGGCTTTTATGACATACAGATGTGATGTGTGAAGAGAAATGTTCAAATCCACAAGCCATGCTATAGAGTTCTACTGAATATCAGGTATTATTTTGAATACATCACCAGTGAGAGATAAGAAAATCTCCTTTTTTTAATTACAGAATTTTGTCATAATAGTATTAATGGACCTCATCAAGAATATGTATGATTAGAAAAGAAGGTGGGCTACTCAAATAATGAGAGTAAGGGATTACAGATAACAGCTGGGTGCCACAGTGGAAGTCACAATATAATAAAAGAACCAGAAGAAGTCCTCTAGCCATTGGATGGATTGTCTAAGGATATGAATGAGATATGAATATGGATATGAACTGGACATCATGGGAAACCATGGTGGGGGTTGAAATCAGTTCCAGTTAGAAACTAGGAATACTAATGAGATCTCAGATCTATCAAATTTTGAAATATTTTACTTCCAGTAAACACTTTTCAATTTACATCACAAATTTAGCACGTTACAAAAATCAAGACCAGTAAGTTTCACAAATAGCATAAAAAATAACTCACCAGGATATTGTTTTGGTGTTAGCTCCAATTTGTGAGACAGCTGCATGGCTCCAGTGGTGTTATCTATTGTGTAAACTTGCACAGATCCACTGGAAAGTAAATCATACAACCTTTGAGGGGGGAACTACTTCTGAAAAACTACACAAACTCAAATATAAGAAGTGACATTATCACTGCTCAGAAAAGTAACTTCCTGGCAAGCAAGAAACATGCATACTTAAAAATAAGGTCCTTAACTTTAGCTATTTTACACTTACCTTGCTTCATTTTTCTATAATCAATACAAAAATAGATTGAAATATATCTTAGAAAGGATTTTAAACTATGATTATTTTTATTCTCATATTGTAGGGTAGCTAAGCATTACATCCATACATACTTCAATACTGGCATTATCATTACAAATGAAATGAGAAGATATAAGGAAGTTGCAGATGAAGGGAAGGATGTATCACAAGTTCTCATTAGAAAGGTAAATTAAGGAATTGATGAACTTTAAAAATGTACCCAAAGGCAACAAAACACTTCAATTTCATGGAACACTGATCATCTTGCCTTGTGGTGTTCATGATGAGCAAAAGAAAAAGACTAAGACGAAGATAACTACATTTTTCATGGTAAAATCTGTTGGAAAGGATGAGACTACAGGCCATTCAGTTTGAAATATTAAATAGGAATTTCAAGATGCAAAACTGGAACTTAGTAGAGAGACTAGACTTAGATATAAAGACTTGAGAATCATCTACATAGAGATGATCATTAAATTCATGGGAGATGATAAGTCACCAAATGAGAGAATAAAAAGAAAACAGGAAAGGGCCCAGAGACTTAGCATAGATTTAATTACCATCCCTACACAAAAGACTCCCCCAATTATACACCTAGACTTAATACCTTCTGAACTCCAGCATTACCAATGTTTTTACTGGGATGTCTGATTATAATCTTCAATTCAACATGTTCACAATGGTACTACTCATTACCTTTACCTCTAAACCTACCTACAATCTCTTCTGGCCCCCTATAGCCCAAAGCACAAAAATAGAAACTACTCATTTTGACATTTGAAGTCTTTCATTGGCTTTAGTTTACCTATTGAGACTTATTTCATATTAATTCTTTACACACACACTCTATGATGAAGCCAAAGTGGCTTATTTGCTACTCCCCAAACTCCCTCATTCCATCTTTTGCCTTTATGTTGAAGCTCAAGTTTTGCCTTATATGCCTGGAATGCATTCCTTAACTTCATCTCCTGGAATCATTAGTTTCCTTTAAGGTTAGCTTCAGATGCTACTTCCCAAGGGAAGCCTTTCCTGATACCCTGATTGTTAATGCTTTCTTTCTCTGTAGGTTTTCTTGTATTGGTTTCTGTGATATTGTTGCATCCTTCCACAAGTAGAAGAGTTCCTTGAGAACAGAGACCATTTTTCACATAAAAAGTGCTTAGCACATCTCTGATGAATTAAATCCAGGCCAGATTCTTCTTTTACAGATAAGTAGACAGAGGCCCAGAGAGTTAAAGTGAGTGACAAAGGTCATGTAGTGAATTCCCTATCTTCCATTAGACCAAATACTTCCATGGATTTGAGACCTTCCAAATGTGCTCCCTCCAAAGATACAGCTCAGCCTGTGTCACCTTCACATGCTCTCCACCCAGGCTCCTGGCCAACTCTCTTGTTGCCTTATGAGTACTTCTCTCCCATTTACTCCCATCTTCCTTTCCTTGCTTTCCCTTTCTTACTCTGGGCACTGTAATAAAATCAATAGCATCACTGCCTTCTGGAAAAGACATGCCAACTGACTGTGCTACACACCAGCTCACAACCCCTGTGACTCCCCAGACTAAAACTCCCTTCCCTTTCCAGCATGGCAGCACTAGTCAGAGATTACTGGAATAACTTTCTTAGTGGTTCAAATCAAAATAAAAATATATAAATAAAAATGTGGAAGAGCACTTTTAGGAATTTAAAAATTCAAGTGGTTTAATATATTTGATGCATATGTAGCTATGTGTGAATATATCTAAATATCTAAATCTGTGTATCAGTGTGCTACCTTTAAGTTGTAGAAGAAAGCTTACATTTGGAATTTTAAAATTTAAATTAACACAAACCTAACTAGAGTATCAACAAAACAGCCTTAATATTAATATACTGTAATAAAATTTCTGTTATTTTAAAATAGCAAAAACACATTGTAACTATAATTATTTTAAGAGAAAACTTTACCAATAAAAAAGACTGTACTAAATACAACTTTGTATATGGTATATTCATTCAATTAAAAAGGTAAAAATTTTGGCAATCATTCTTAAAACAAACATAGCACTTACCTAGCACAACCAAATGCCATGAGTCTGTATTTGTTATTTACTGCTACGCAAGTTCCATCCACAACATCTTGTGCCCAAACACCACGGAGCTGCTACAATAGAGAAACAGTTTGGAATTAAAATGTTTTCCCAAAGATTTCACATTAATAATGATTCTATCTCATTAGGTATTCAATGTCTTCAAATCACACTTGTTCTGAACAAATTTAATGGCTTATTCCAGAGTACAAAATCACATAGGATGGCAAGGTATCAGAGGAGTAATAACCTATACTGATGGGAGTAATCACACTGATGCGATCTCCCAAGGTACTGTAATATTTGAGGGATTTAAGTCAACCCTACATATTTATTCAACAGTGATTAAGTGTCCATTTTATGTAAAGTACTCTATATACAAATGTATATACATCCAAGAAGAGAGGAGAGTCCTGGGACTCAGCAATCACTATAGCTTTAAGTGCCAGCAGTAAAAACCAGAAAATACAAACATCCTCTTCATGAAGCTAGCCAGGCAGGTCATCAAGTACATGGAGCAGAGGGAGATGATTGTTTGGGTGAGCCATGCAAGGTAAGAGATGTATTTAAACGAGTGATAGTGTGGGGGCAATACATGACACGGAATCGTGTTTGTGTGTGTGTGTGTGTGTGTGTGTGTGTGTGTGTGTGTGTGTGAGTGACACTATCTTAGTTCAGTTCCTCATCACCTTTTATCTGGACTGTTACAGAAGCCTCCTAATTGGTCTCCCATCCTTCAGTCTCTCCCTTCTTCTAATCCATCCTTTCCATATCTCCCCACATAATATCCCTAAAATAAATCTCTGGCCATGTCACTGTCCTGGCTCAAAAACTTCCAGTGGGTCTTTATACCCTCTAGGATAAAACGCAAGCTCCTCAATATAAACCCTTCACAATCTGGCTTTCCAAATACCTTTCCAGATTAATTTCTTATCACCTCCCTTTACACACTCTATGTTCCAACCAAACTTGGCATTCCATTTCCCTTCTCCATGCTAGGGGGCAGTCCATCCCACATAAGTACTTCTTCCTCACATGTTTCTTAGAATACTTAGGTTCCCTCAAGTCTCAGGCTAGATGCCACCTCCTGTGCTTTCCTCCATGTTGTAAGTGTACTCTCTCTCTCCTCCATTTATTTCCTATAAATACTCACCTGGGAACATGCTGTATATCTCAAAACCACCCCCATACCCACTCCATACACTCAATGAAATGTAAGCTCCTTGAGGAAAAGAACTATTCAGTTTTTGTCTTTGAATTCCTATGACTCAATATAGTACATCTAATAGATAATAAGTATTTAAATCTTGGTGAATTAAATTGAATTGAGAACCTACTCTCAAGAAGCTTATAATCTAAAAGGAAAAAAGACACAGGCACACAAAGAACTATAACACAGAAATGAAAAGAGGTCCAAACAAAATGCCCAGAGAAATTTGAGGAGGGTGAGATCATTGTTACACGAAAGTGGGTGGAGGAAGGTTTTGAGAAGGTTGTCAGTGAAGACTACATGGAGGAGGTGACATTTTCATTAGACCTTAAAAATAGTTTGGGACTTCCAAAAAATGGAGCTGTTAGGGGATGGGAAGAGATAATTCTAGACATGAAGGGTAATGAGCAAAAAACACGGAGACTGGAAAGAGTAGGCTCCTGATGGCAAAGATGGCAGAGTAAGAAGCAGCAGAATGTGTCAGTTCTTTTCCACACTGATTCCAACAAAATTCTAGGAAGAGGACCAGACTGACTGAGTAGGGAAGGAGAAACTACAATGAGTTATTTTTCCAGCCTAAGTCAGAACAGAGAGAAAACCAGAGGTCTTCAGGAAGTAGGTAGGGGGTCCAGCTAAGACAGACCAAAAAAGAGCCCTTCAGAACAATCAATCAATAAACATTAAGTGCCAACACTATGTGCCAGCACTGAGCTAAGTGCTGGGGATAGGAAAACAGCAAAAAATAGTCTCTACCCTCAATGAGCTGGCAGTCTAATGAGGGAGATAACCAACAAGCAAATATATACAAAACACGCTACATACAAGATAAGGAGGAAACAAATTAATAGATAGAAGGCAATAGAATTAAAAGAGGTCAGAAAAAAGCTTCTTGTAAAAAATGGGATTTTAGTTGGGATTTAAAAGAAGCCAGGAAAGGGAGTAAATGGAGTTGAGGAAAGAGAGCATGCCAGGCATGAGGGATAGCCAGAGAAAATGTCCAGAACCAAGAGATGGAGTTTCTTTTTTACAAAACAGCCAGGAGGCTAGTGTCACTGGATCAAAGAGAACACGGTTGGGAGTAAGGTATAAGAAGGCTGGAAAGGTAGTGAAGTAGGAACAGCAAAGTCCTATTTTTCCCCTAGAGCAGTGAGGCCCCATCCTTTCCCTACATGTTGATTAGGCAACCCTTTCCCCTATATTCTTAGCCCTTTCCCCCATATGCTGCACAGACAACTACTTCCCCCATATGCTGAATAGGCAACCTCAACACTCTGTAGCCTACCCTATCACCAGTGGTAAAGGGACTTTCCCAAGATGGCGCAAGCACAATGAGATTCTTCAATGCCCCATAGTAACTTATGTGATGTCAAAGCCCCTACTAACATCTCATGAATACGATAATATGATAATGAAGATCACTGTCTGATGGACTGTCTGAAAATCATGGCGGAAAAAAACCCCCAACAACTTGAATCATTAAAGAAAACTGCCCAGATCACTTGGAACCAGAAAGCAAAGTGAAAATATAGACTTGACTTGTGGGTCACCTCCTGAAACCCCAAAATGTAAACTTACAAGAATGTCATGGACCAAATCCATAACTTCCAAGACAGGCAGAAAGGAAGAATTCATTTATCAAGAAGTCACTGCAAGAATTTTACAAGACTTAGCTGCCACCACTATATGGGGGAGACAGCTTTGAACATTATATTCCAAAAGGCAAAAGATGTGGACTTTTCTATCTATGTATGTTTTCATATCTAAGAATAACTTACCCAGAAGAACTGAGTATAATCCTACAAGGATAAAAATAGACCTTCAATGAAAGATGACTTCTAAATATTCCTGATGAAAAGTCCAGAGCTGAATATTTTGAAATACAAACATAAGAGTCAAGAGAAATATAAAAATGTAAATATGACTAAGTGGAAGGAAACAATACAAGGATGAAGTTATTTACATTCTAATAGGGAGAGATGATACAAACGTTCACTTAATCAAGACCACACACTATTTAGTTAGTGGCAAAGATAAAATAGTACTAATCTCCCATCTAGGGCTCACAGAAAATATAAACAAACATGGTGAGACCTGGACAAGCACACAAATATATGCATGTATGTACATCTATATATATGGATAAGGTTGAGACCTTTGATTTCACTGATATAGGAAACTCCTAGATGAGGACACTCCAACTACCAACGCAAGTCAACACCTTCTCTCCTAGGGCAGACAAGATTAAAATGTGATGGGGATATATTTGTCCAACAGGACAAAGATAATGTTAATATGTGATTATCCAAGTTTGGAGAAAGTAATGATAATATTAGGGTGACATTAAATATACTATTCATGACTACCCGCACGATGAACTCAGAACTTCCTTATTATCTCATATTATAAAAATAAGATTAGAGAAATTCTACAAATGTAAGAGATGCAGACTTTTCTAGAATTGAAGCACCATTAAAAGTAGAGATTTTGGGGACAGCTAGGGAGCGCAGTGGATAGAGCACCAGTCCTGGAGTCAGGAGGACCTGACTCCATTTTATACTATACATTTATGCAAAGTGCTGTTCTTAGCACTGACAACGATAAAATCGAAATATTGATCGACTCTGCGTCCTGCAGTACGAAATATTCTGCCAATATTTAAATCTTTATGTAAAAATAAACTAGCACATCCATCTCATTATTATGCAAATTTGTTTTCCTCTTTAATAAATGGTAAAATTATATGTATACCAAAGAATTTTTTTGTTTTGTTTTGTTTTTTGGCTAGGCGATGGGGTTAAGTGACTTGCCCAGGGTCATACAGCTGGTAAGTGTTATGTGTCTGAGGCCGCATTTCAACTCAGGTCCTCCTGACTTCAGGGCTGGTGCTCTAACCACCATGCCACCTAGCTGCCCCCAAAGAATTGTTTTAAAATAAATTTCTTTATGACTTATTACTAGTAAACGTTTGATTTGTATATCTATTTTATATACCGACGCATGCAGAGTCACGTAAAAATTTCTTAGGTAAAGAGGGGTCAGGAGTGGAAAAAGTTTAAGAAGCCCTGGCTTAAACAACAACTGGAATCTACTAAGGAAGGGAAAAGAGTGGGAGTCTTAAATAAAAGCTTCTCTTCTCAGCACTTTTCTATCCCTATCATGTTTGAAAGGATTCTACCTTCAGAATGACTTACGGCATAAATTTGGAACCCTTCTTTGCTTTTAAAGGGTCAAGTAAAATCTGGTTCAAAAAGCAAAATATGTTCGCAGTGTGCATATAGTTTAAGCCAATACCTTGCAAGTTATATAGCACTCTAAGGTTTGCAAAGTACTTTAAAATTATTTCATTTTATTCTCATAATAACCTAGGAAGTAGTGCTATTACTATTTCCATTTTACAGATGAGGAATACGTGACTTGCCCAGGGTTACAAAAATAATAACTATCTGAAGCTGCATTTAAATTCAGGTTTTCCCGAGTCCAGGTCCAATGCTCTAACCACTGTACCACCTAAGCTGTCTTGTAAAAGATATTGATGTAATATATAATGTATGCGGATATTTGTATATTATATCTGTTTTAGTAGTTTATCCCTCTACTATATTGTAAACTTTTTATGCAAAGGGTCAAGTCTTATTTAAACTTTATATTTCTCCAAGCATCTAGGCATGGTGAGTTCTCTGCACTAACTTTTTTATAAATCTTTGCTGTAAGGAAATATCATATTGTAGGAAGACGGCAGTGTGCAAAGACATAGAGGAGCCCAAGTCTCTAGAAAACACTCCACTGGGGCTTAGAAACACTGCTCTAAAAAGAAGTAAGTCATTTGTGGATCCCCCACCTAGTCTAGGAATCCAAAGGGGATAT